GGCTCCCAGAATGTTCTTCTGAAAGGTAGGATGACGTTCTCTAAAAACATTCTTAACATTTTTGATGATAACTTTCTTAAGATGTATGAACAAATTGAGAAAATGAATAGGACGTATAAAAACGAATTTTCATGCCAATATTCACTCACATGCACTTGAGTGAATATTATAGGTATTATAGGTATTATAGGACTATATAGGTTCTAACTATTAGATAAGCTATCTGGCCATGTGTGGTTTGTGAGGGCTGCGTATAGTGTCCGCTGTTTATGCATATTGGATAAAACCGTTATTGCACCCTTTAGATTTGAGACCGACAGACATGTAGAGGAACGGACCGACTATCACTGCCCTTCCCCTGAAACCCCTGTCACATGCCCTGTTTGTATGTGTTTGTCTCTACTGTGTGTGTCTCTCTCTCTCTCTCCCTCCCCCCCCCCCCCCCCCCTACCTGCCTGCTGGTCTGCTCTACACAGCTGGGAGCAATCTCCAATCAACCACACCTGCTCATCAGCCACACTATGAAAGCCTGCAGCCTGCACTCATTCCCTGCCGGATTGTTGCGTGCCGCGCTAGCTTTTTGCCAGCATATTCTTTGACAACTTTGCCTGCTTTTGCCTCACACTCATTTGTGTGTCTCTCCCAGGAGGAATCCAAGGTAGTGATGGCAAAATGAAGCTTTGAATGAAGCGTCGAACCACTTGGACAATTGTGTCGGAAATAGGTTCATTTCTCGAAGCTTCAGTTACAGCAACGTTTGAAACTGTTTCAACCTGTCACCTGTCAGAATCGAGACGAGGCAGTGCATTGAATCGCCTGATTGGACGGCCAACCAGTGAGTTGATTCATTCAGGAAATGAAGCAGTTGCTGCTTCGGACGTCACATGTCACGTGATTTGAAGCAGTTGCTGCTTCGGACGTCATATGTCACGTGATTTGAAGCAAGCTTCGAAGCACTGCTTCTATGGAATAGGAAGTCCAGGGTTGAAGCTCCGTTCAAAGCTTCAGTGTCAAACTGCCATCACTAATGCAAGGCCTTCCACACTCCCAAGACCAGCCAGGCCTCTCCACCCTGGAACAACTGTTTCCTAGTGATGGCGAGATGAAGCCTTATGAAGCTTTGAAGCTTTCCGGCCAATTGGTTCGCAAAAGGGTTCATCTCGTGAGGCTTCATCATGGGCTTCATTTGAACACAAACCCTTGTTGGTCAAAGTGTGTAGAACAGGCAGATTGGACATCTCAACAGTGTGCTCCAGTGGCGGATTTAGGATTGTAGGAGATCCGGGGCTTAGCCCAGGAGTTGTTGGGTTGGGGGGGGGGGGTGCAGGGGTACAGTGCTATTTTTTATAAGTGGGGAGTGGACCGAACATCCTTTAGGGGGGTCGTCACCTCCTGTTGGGGGGTCCGGGGGCATGCTCCCCCGGGAAGATTTTTTTTAAATATTGAAGTTGAAAGCATCAATCTGGTGCACTTTGAGAGCAACATTAACCCTACCTTAATAACACCTTAAAGCGGACAAAAGGCACTGGAGAACACTCATTAACACCCTTTAATGAAGCAAACTAATGCCTTAACTCACTCAAATAGTCGTTTACTTATTAAGGTGAAACGAATGTGCGTAGAGTTTTAAAGGATGCGGATAGTCTCACCTTGATTCTGGCGCATTGCTTATCGTTTTATAGATCTATTCTCATCCACCATCTTTGTTTGTAACGTAAAGAGTGTAAGAGTCACGTTTCTGAATCGGACACTCTGAGTGGATGCAGTCACAGCCAATCGGAGTCTGATTCAGAGGGTTGCCTGTCAGTTCTGTTGTTATGTGTACTGAAACGAGAGCCGGTATAATTCCACGCGTGAAAACAAAATAAAATTGGAATACGTTATTTTAGTGTCTTAAAAGTAGACTGAGGTATGAAGGGTTAACGTTACATCTTAGGATAATTTTTAGTCATGTTCTGTATACATACTAACATATAAGGGTATACTTAGTGTGGTTGCTCCATGTTTACTAGCTATAACATTAACGTTACATCACTCTTTTTCACTTCTTACTCAGTCAGCCAGAGTGCAGATATCACCATTATATTAACAAACCTGAAACATCCATTTCTTGACTGCTGGTGATGACATTGTTGTCAGCTGCTGATACTGCTGCTGCTGCAGCTTGTGGCGCCGGCTGCTTCGATGACAATAACTTTCTAATATCCATAACTGTAGGCTATTAGCTTAAAACCATAAAACTCGTCAGGCACTAGGAAGGATCACTTCTTCTTCAGGGCAGGCTACGCAGTACGCAGGCTAATGTCCCATAGTGGCTGCCTCTCTGGTGGACTCTGGTACTGCACATTACTCCCGAGACGTTTTTTAAAAAAAAATATATATATTTTTTTTTAAGTGAAACATCCGGGGCTTTTCAGAAAACATCCGGGGCTTGAGCCCAAGTAGCCAACCCTAGCGCCGCCACTGGTGTGCTCTATCTCATACCGAGTTCCCAATGAGTAAAGCCTTAGAATAACTCTAAACAACGAACATAAAATCATATTTTCATGTTAACAATATTGTATTTATTCCAGTTTAACGATTGTGATTGAAAAGCCTATAGGAGGCTGGTAAACATTGCAAAGAGGGATTTGTATTCCTTAATAATATTCATAAACTTAACCATGTTGTAGCTGGAGAAAGGCTAAACCATATCAAAGAATACATTTATTAACTACATTACATTACATTATCTGTATAGCTTTTATAAACAACAACAAATACGTATTGTTCAGTCGTTGAACCAGGAACCCTGCGGTCGTGAGCCACAGCACACACACTAAATTCATCTGAAAATACTGGATCATATTTATTCCTTTATTTATTCATGTTTTTATTCCTACATTTATTTATGCTTGTATCTATTTATACTGATGACATGTTCCGACCTCTATATAAGTGAGGGTCTGAGCTCTCTTGATTCCATCGTGTCACCGGGCCCGGGTACAGGAGGGGTAATATGGTTCTTATTATACATCCATGGGTATTATGAGCGTTGTGGTTCAACCGATCTGAATCGCTTCCTGAAGCAGTCACGTGGTATCGACAGGCAGCAAGGCTTCGTTTGTCATCGATGACGTTACTGGCCCAAAACGATGCAAGCCTCGATACAAGCTTCACAAAAAGATTCGGGGATTACTCTACACACGCTCCGAAGCCTCAGCGCAATACGTAACATCACTACTGTTTCCCACTGCTGCCATAACCAACCTAACCTAACCCAGCTGAGCTCCCAGCTCCCCTTTTCTAATAAACAAATGTTACTTTCACCAGCTGATTCCGAGTCATCCTTTTACATGTGTTAATAGTCCAATTCCAATAGTTAAGTAAACTATCAAAATCATCCTAATCATTAAACTGTTTACACCCCTGTTTTAGGGGATACGAAACACAGTGGTGTTATCACATTTAAAACATATAATTAATAAATGGGTGAAAAATGCTTGTGTCCATAATGGGCAGCATTAATATACCCACATGACATATGGTCAGAAGAACTTTATTTAAGAACTGGTCTTATGTCTCTGACCCCTCTTGTTAATTGATAAACCTGAAACATGCACTTGTAGGTTCAGAGGCACATTTTGCAAATATGGCAGTAGCCATTGATCATCTTAAGATAAGATACTTTATTGATCCCAAATGCTTGTGTTACAGCAGCATGTACTTTGTTCTACTATTCAGAGGTTAACCTGGTATTTTTACATTTATTTTTGTTACTTTGCAGATTCTGATTAATGATGTGAAATATAAACAACCCTTAAATCAGACTTTAGTTGCACCTGAGTAACATTCAGCCATATTAGTTGGTCTGTTTTGCACATCCTCCTGTTAATGTCTTTGCACGTCCTGCACTAAACTATTTTATTGTAGAGATCACTGCAGTGTCTTCTTGATATTTGATATTCTATATTTCTATCACTGACCCCCTATTTTGTATGTAGGCTACTCTTAATATTTAAATGTTTTCATCAAATATAACTATATAACAAAATATCTAGTCTCTTATAGTGTTACGTTATGAGAGTGCTCTCATACTTGTTTGATTCTGAAATTGTATATAGGCCTATTTATATAAATATATATGTGTGTGTTAAACTTTATATATATATCCCGACTGTAGCCTGTTATTGTCTCATTATACCGCACTGTGAATTAATTAAAAGTCATCATGAACACAGTTCCGTCCATCAGACAGGGCTGCTGTGCCTCCTGTCATCATTAATGGACGTCTCTTTAAAATGACAGCGGAGAGGATTTCTCATTTCTCTAACCGCCTTCTGCTTCCCCTCCTCTCTCCTCGGTTCCCCTCCTCGACTCCTCCGCTCGCATCTCATGTGGGTGGGACTAAGACACGAGGATAGGAGTCGAGGCAATTAGAGAAATGAGAAAGGGCCACAGTTTATCTAATGCTTTATCACCAGCACTTACTAGGGTCTTGCTTGTTTGAAGCCAATATGTCAGCTGTTCTTTTTGTCCTTAGTTTTAATCTGTATGGTCTGTTGCACTTATTGTACGTCGCTTCGGATAAAAGCATCAGCTAATTGCTCTGTAATGTAAAAAGAGAGTTGGAATGCACCCTGTTTTAGCATTGGAACACGGCCCTACTGTCAAACGGATCCAATCGAAAACAGATCCCGCCCATCTCCACCAGCGCGCTCACTCATTGGTCGAGTGTACTGTCAATCACAGCCGTGACTCAGATCCCAGTCATGTGACAGATGTTTTTGTTGAGTAATGTCAATTAAAGCTTAATTTGATCCATACTGTAAGTGCACTATTCAATGTTATAGACCGAAAATGAGTGCCTTTAATGTTGTAAACTGTAATTGATTAATAAAAAATATAATTAAAAAACGGGCCAACTGTCAAACGGTCCAACCCAAAACAGATCCCGCCCAAACCCACCAGCGCGCTCGCTCATTGGTCGACCGTGCTGTCAATCACCGCCGTGACTCAGATCACAGTCATGTGACAGATGTTTTTGTTCGCTTCCTGCCTTCAGTGTTATCGCCTCATCACGTGGATGTCAAAACCCCTGACTGGCTTTTTAAGGTTGAAATAAGGTTAATTTATCTCTACCTTGGGATTCCCCCCCCAGGACTGCTGTTGAGGACGGGATGTCGGACGGGGAACGGTCGCCTCTTCTGTCTGATCAACACGACGGGACCAACGGCTTCTCTACCGGTCAGATTGTTCATGGATATCAGAGAAAAACACAGAGTATGTGTCCGCCGAAACCATTCAGACATATTTAAAGTTGTTATAACATCAACATTCAAGGATTTTATTGTTTAATTTAAGCTGGACAATGTCGACAACTTGTAAACAAACGTTAGCTAGTGTCAGTTGTGGCTTGCAAGCTAGCTAGCTATTAGCACTAAATCATTACATTACAATACATTACATTGCATTGCATTAAACTGCATTTTGTTTTTTGATAATGAACGTACAGTCACAGATAAAGAGGTTTAGCTCAAAGGGAACTCACTTTAGGTTTTGTTATGAAAGTCTGGCAACGTTTTAAGGCTGTGAACTGAAGCTATTCAGACATATTTAAAGTGTTTATAGAAGGAAGGAACATACGAGGACTAATGTTTTATTCAAGCTGCTGAATGTCGACCACTTGAACACCAATGTTAGCTAGCTAGCTGACGTTAGCACTAAGTCATGCATTTACAGTCACAGATAAAGAGGTTTCACTCATGGAAATTCACTTTACGATTTGTTTTTAAGGTCTGGAAACCTTTTAAGGCTGCCACAATGTAATGACATGATCCCAAATAGCAACAACAGTTGCATAGGTGGAAGTATTCATGCCCTTTTACTTAAGTGAAAGTACCTTAAGTAAAGCAGGAGCACACTGAAAATACTCCACTATAAGTAACACTTCTGCATACTAAAGGTTGCTTTAATACAACATTATTAGTATCACTTCATGTGCTAATATTTATATTAAAAATAACATGCAACGTTCTTGCACATCTGTTTTCATTAGAGACTCTTCTACTGAGTGTCCTCTTCCAACATGAGAGTAACATGATAACAAAGGTATCCCAACTGTAGCTGTGAACATGACAGGATGTGTGATGACCTAGAAGAGCATCAGGACTGTTTGAGGCATATGATAGCTATGTGATTAACATGATGATTCAGCCTCTATGGAGAGAGACATCAAGCATGCTCATTTCTGACGTGGAGCTAATCTGAAGTAAACATTGAATACTGCTTTCTATTCCTCCATCTTGTGACTGTGTGACTCCCTCTCTTGGATATCAGCATGTGAAGGACACTGTTCAGGAACTAGTTGATGCTCTGTATGTGATGACTCCTTCCATTCTGGAGAGGATCACAGACACATGGATCCTGAGGTTGAAGCTCAAGCCGTTGACGAGTGATATTTTTCTAACAGCGGAGTTCCCCAACTCGGTGGCACCAGATGAGCCCCCCCCCCCGTACTCCCCGCAGGGCAGCCCGGACAGCGGCAGCTCTCCGGTGATCAGCTGCCGGGTGTGTCAGAGCGCCATCTCCGTGGAGGGCAAGACGCACCAGCACGTGGTGAAGTGCAGCATCTGCAACGAAGCCACGGTGAGTCACACACACAGATCATCAGCGGGGGAACGATCTGTGTTCTCTCACAGAGCATTAAAGGGTGTATCCCAACATTAGTCCTGCTTGTCCACCTTCTTCCCCAGTATATCTGTGTTACAGTGAGTATTGAAACACATTGTGAGACAGACACACATGCCGGATTAGGGTTTTAGAAAGACTGCGGTCAGACGCTCAAACTTCAGTGTCAAGTTTCTCAACCCAGACGTCGGCAGTGTCTCGTATTTCCTGTGTCAGGAAGTCTTCCCTTCGTCTCCTCACAGAAGAGTTGCTGATAGGATCCAAAGTGAACTATTTAAGAACCCAGAAATGAGGAAAAGCCTCGAGACAGAAACTGAAAAAGTGCTGTGTGGGACGTTTTCTTACTCCTCCTCCTCCGCCCTCTTTCTTCATCTCGTTTCTCTGCAGCCTATAAAGAACGCTCCGGTTGGGAAGAAGTACGTCCGCTGTCCCTGTAACTGTCTCCTGATCTGCAAAGTCACGTCTCAGAGGATCGCCTGTCCGAGGCCGTACTGGTGAGGAACAGAATGAGTTCATTTTCACCTCCTCATATTTGGCTCCGTCTGTGCGGCAGGAAGACAGTCATCAAACACGGAGACAGCGAAGGAGCTGCAGTGCAAATTAAGTCAGCAGCAATTTCCCAATAGATAACCAGACGTATCAAATACAGAAAGGGAACGTTTGTAGCATCCTGCAGGAGAGACGGGAGACCCTGGGTTTTCCTCAAAATGGTTATACCCCTTTATTACTGAACTAGTAATAACAGTGATCATCACCACAAATAGTAACATCTCAAATGTAAATTAAAAAGGGGTATTTCTCAACTTGAGCTCTTCTCTATGGTCTGCTTGTCCATTAACGCCCAATTGCTTTATGTGCAGCCATATTTTCAGTTTAAGAATAACAATACATTGTATTTGTAAGAGCACCGTTCATTGCTAAAAGTAATCTCAAAGTGCTACAAGGGGTTTAATATACTTTAAATCAGGGGTGTCAAACTCAATTTCATCGCGGGCCACATTAGAATTATGGTTGCACTCAAAGGGCCGGTGGTAACTTTAAGACTATATAAATATACAATAATGTATTATTTTACACTATTGCCTCTGCATTGGATTATTATCGGACACGGTAATAACTTCATAATTAACTACGTCTGAAAGCAGAAGTCTAGGGAAAATAATTGCAAGTCTCTTCATTGCACATGTCACAAAATGAGATGCATTGTGGGACATGTAGTTTATGGGCAATGTTCTCCTGTAAAGCGACATGTAACATTATAATAAACTCATTATATTCTTTGTAAGCTCTTGCAGGGCCACATAAAATGAAGTGGCGGGCCGGATTTGGCCCCCGGGCCTTGAGTTTGACACCCCTGCTTTAAATAAACACAAGTTTAGGCCCTTCTTAAAGGAGTTTAAACACACTTGATATATGTGTCTAGTCTGAAGTTTACAATCTGTAGAGTAAGATATATTTTCCCTTGTCATGTTGTCTTCATTTGAGTGAGTGAGTGAGTGAGTGTGTGTGTGTGTGTGTGTGTGTGTGTGTGGTGTGTGTGTGTGTGTGTGTGTGTGTGTGTGTGTGTGTGTGTGTGTGTGTGTGTGTGTGTGTGTGTGTGTGTGTGTGTGTGTGTGTGTGTGTGTGTGTGTGTGTGTGTGTGTGTGTGTGTGTGTGTGTGTGTGTGTGTGTGTGTGTGTGTGTGTGTGTGTGTGTGTGTTGTGTGTGTGTGTGTGTGTGTGTGTGTGTGTGTGTGTGTGTGTGTGTGTGTGTGTGTGTGTGTGTGTGTGTGTGTGTGTGTGTGTGTGTGTGTGTGTGTGTGTGTGTGTGTGGTGTGTGTGTGTGTGTGTGTGTGTGTGTGTGTGTGTGTGTGTGTGTGTGTGTGTGTGTTTTGTTTCATTATTATTATTTAGTGTATTTGGGTTTTCTCTGTTCAGTAAACGTGTCATCAACCTGGGACCGGTTCGCATCGAGAGGGAGAGTCCGGAGCCTCGGAACCAGCCCGTCGGCATCAGGATCATCTGTGGACACTGCTCCAACACTTTCCTGGTAACACACTCACACACACACACACACACACTCACACTCTCTCTCTCTCACAGACAGATAGACTATTCTAAATGACAGTGCATATTTAACTTCTCTATAACATCTACAGTTAGTATTTTGAATTCTCACTTCCTGTTTCTTTTCCAGTGGACGGAGTTTTCAGACCGGACTTTGGCCCGATGTCCACACTGCAGAAAAGTGTAAGAGCTTCAATAATTCCTTTTTTCTGTTGCCTTGACAACTAATTTATTCACGTTTTTTTATTTCCAGCTCTTCTATTGGTCGGCATTACCCCAGGAGGAGGAGCCTGTTGTGCTTCCTGCTCTTCATCGTCCTCGCCGCCTCCACTGCAGGACTCGTGGTGTGTGTGTGTTTGTGTGTTACCTATTATTATTTTAATATGTGTTTTAATGTTGAACAGCGCAAATCATAACGCAATAGACATATCAATCAAAATAATAGCAATTAGTTCATTTTTTGCCAAATCCTACTATTTCAACACAACGCATCAAAAACAAGGTCATAATCTGAAATTAATTAATTAATTAATTCTACTGTTTTTCATCAATATATTATAGGTCTCAGATATATCCAGAGCTTGTCTCTGATTGGCTGAAACACCAAACATTGCAGCATTACCCATAATCCCCTCTGTTTCAGCCCTGTTTCCAAAGTGCTGATTCTCTGTCTGTTACTTTAGATGAAAATAAGGAGCCCCTCCCCACGCCCCTCTGAGAGACATTTAGTTACAAAGAACACAATGGAGCTCTAGGAGGAGATTCAGGTGATAAGAGGGGGGGGGGTTACCTTGGTTGCTGATTGGCTAATGGTTACACAAGACAAAACATCGTTATGACATCATCAAGTGGCCAAAATCTGATCAGCTCATTTTCAGACAGGTTTTTTATAGAAATGGATCAAAAAGAGAGAGAATCTTTGTTCCTGAAACTTTCAGAGTCTCTTTCCACAGAGGGGACACATGTTGATGTAGAAGAGACATGAAGAAGAGGGGACACATGTTGATGTAGAAGAGACATGAAGAAGAGGGGACACATGTTGATGTAGAAGAGACATGAAGAAGAGGGGACACATGTTGATGTAGAAGAGACATGAAGAAGAGGGGACACATGTTGATGTAGAAGAGACATGAAGAAGAGGATGTTGCATAATAGGTGACCTTTAAAGTGTGTGTTTAATCTAATCCCTCTTCAGGCTGGAACATGGCGTCCCGCTCAGGACTCAAAAGGGATCTACGTCTCCTGGGTTTTTCTGATCCTCCTCGCTCTCCTCACCATGTTCAGAACCGTCTACTGGAGGTGTCTGAAGATCAGCGACCCCATATCCAACTTCACGTAGAGAGGGGGAGGAAAGGAAGGAAGGTGAGATGGCTAGTGATGGAAGAGAGGAAAGGAATAAAGCATAGATGAGACAAGGAGAGAGGAGAAGATGCATTCAACATGAAAAATCAAACTTCAAACTCAAGGGGATTTAACACAAAGAAATGTTCATAAGATAAGTAAGACATGCAGATGTTTGACCCCATAACTAACTGGGGGCGGTTGTTTGCGAAGAGGATGAAGAGAAAATAGTTAAATGAAAGAAAGAAAATGTTTAAATTATTTCGGTTTTGACCCGGTTGTTTCAATTAGACTAATGTTCACGACAATGTTATTTAAACATGATGTGCCCCAAATTATAATGAGATAATAGAGAGATAGGATTTGTGTGGATAGGTCTCAGTGAAGGAGGGGTTTTAGTTTATGTTAAGTTCTATAATCATTACCAAATATTTATGCTAATCAATGAGAAGGAAGAAACAAGATGGACTTATTTTTGTAATGAAATGAAGTCCAATCTTTTGACTCAACGCTTGTTTTTGAGTCATTTCTCTTTTCTTGTTATCTCTGTACTAGAAACGAACAAAAACACGTGAAAATTCCTTCAGAAATACATTTATATTCGCATTTAAATTCAAATTGGAGCTGATTTTCTTCGGGATCAGAAAATGAAATGCAGGGGATAATTTAAACCACGTGTTTTTGGGGCATTGTTTGTTCGGTAACGCGCATTATATTATGTCGGATATACAATGAATTCATGTTGGGACATTTATAAGGCATTCATTCAGGATTAAGTGGCATTATTTTCATTAATCATCTCACATATTCATTTTGGGGCATTTAACTCTTTATTTCTTTGCTTGAAAATGATTCACATCGGAGATACCTGCAGCTGATCTTCTAAACGTCACTGGAAACGAGTCAAATATAAGATCTAATATCCCTCTAAATGCTTTTGAACGATTAACCACACACAGGGAAGGATCTATTTACTCGTCTCTCTGTGCGTCTCCTCTGTAAAAGTGTAAATAAATATATATTCAGGTGTTGATTATTATGGTCTGCACAGAATGATCCAGCTGTTGCGCCCCCTTGTGGCTGAGTGGTGTAAGTACCTGCTGACTGTGAAACCTGTTGCACTACATCGTTCTGATAAATACTACTGTATGCTTTTGTCCATATTGTTCCGGTGGATGGATTTTTGTATATTGTGAAACAAAGAAGTAATACTTTTAACAACGTGCTCTGACTCAAATGTGTCTTATTTTCAGATATAAATAGACAGCTTTTTGTGATTTTTTTGTGTCATTATTACTGAATATTTTGTGATTTGGAAACATGGGAAAGATATTAGCAATATAAAAGTAAATATTTGTATTTATAGGGGCCTCCATTGGTCACATTGTTGGCCCCTGACGTCAAAAGCGTCCTGCCTGAAATGTACAAATTGTACAAAAGCTGCACAACTTAGTTATATATAATTATAGTAATAATAACAATACTTTATCCTGAGGTAAAACAAGATATGCTTGGTAACAATTACTCTATTTAAGAACAGAATGAAAAAAATGATAGAATCAAGATATATATTAAAACACAAGAAGGTTAATTAAGGATATGCCATAAAAAAGATAACACACAATTAACATATTTATATAAAATCTGGAGATCAAAGTAAACATCTTTAAACACGGGTATCCAGTTTGATGCAATCTGCAACTTCACCACTAGGTGTCACCAAATCCTTCAAACTGACCCTAAAACACGAGTGGGGTTTCAAAACACACCTGCCATGTGCCGCAAGCATCAAATGACAACATGTGTGATGCACTCAGTCAGGTTTAAATCCGTTTAGGAAGAAGTCGACACGTCTGTCTTTCACACATCATTTCAGATCAATAACTGGGGAAATGTTATTGCACAGTTTTCATGCAGGACATTTCGGGATGGACTACGAAATGGGTTTTTTTGGGACATTGTGACGACAGAAATACATGGTTTAGTTGAATACTCGATTCTGATTGGTCAATTCAGAACACGTGACACGTTCTTAATCCAGAACAGACAGACCGCTGTGAAGGATTTATTGACCGTTGTTAAGGACGCTCACATCTGCAGAAAAGGTCGATTGAACTGCATGCAGCTTTTCAAACTGAAAACAGCGCAGAAGTAACGGGGCAGAAACCCTCCTTTTGACATAGACATCAAACGGTGACACATATTCAGTGTGCAGTTACTTTGGCATTAGGGCAGGGATATCTAGATACTTCCCAAGGTTTGACATCATGAATTGTGCTACTTTTAAAGCAAGCAACGATGTTTTCAAATCTGTTATCAAAAACGCTATCGAAGCACTTCCTGCCGTTGCTACGTAGTTTCATTTCAAACCTTTATTTAGACAGATAAATCCCATTGAGATCATTGATCTCTTTTTCAAGGGAGACCTGCTCAAGTAGTTCCACATGAAACATAACAACATAAATAGAACAACAAAAGCACATCATACAGCATCATTTACATAATTATCCACATAAACAGGTACCAATAGCTTCCGATTGAGTAGCATCCAACCGAGCTTTAAAAACATTTAGTGGCACCAGATTGTTCAGTTTCCATTTAATTTGCAGACTGTTCCAGACAGAGGAGCTGCGCATCTAAAAGCTGTCTTCCCTAAGACGGTCCTAGCAGTTGGCACATTTAATAAAACCACAGCATGCGATCTCAGGCAAACGGTAACAACGGAATATTTTTCTTAGCGGATGCATGTCATTTTAAATAAATAATGGCCCACTATTTTTTAAATCAATAAAAACATTTTCTAAATCTATAAAAAGCATTTCAATTAATATTGGAGTCATATCGTTACTTTGTTGAGAATGTGGCCGTGTGATAAGCGGGATAATGTACTTGGTCATTATGGGGAAAAGAACACCCGACAGGCTGATCAAGAGCCCGACGCGAGGCGGAGGGATCTTGGATCAGCCTGATCTGCATCGCTGCATATTATCCCTTACCTTCCTTATCAGGAATATGTTGCATGATTAAAAAAAAAAAACACACATTTTTGGCATTAAATTATAAAAAAAAATTGTATTTTAAATTTGGGATTAGTCATGATTAATTACACATTATTATCATGATTAATTACATTTTATAATATTGATAATATATACACTTAGTAGGAGAAATACAAGAGATGTGAGTCCTGGTGTTCTCCCCCTCTCTCCCCCTCCAGCTGCTGTCTCAGAGGGAGTGTGTGTGTGTGTGTGTGTGTGTGTGTGTGTGTGTGTGTGTGTGTGTGTGTGTGTGTGTGTGTGTGTGTGTGTGTGTGTGTGTGTGTGTGTGTGTGTGTGTGTGTGTGTGTGTGTCCTCTCTCTGGCCCTTCAGTGTCTCGCTGCTTAAATCCCACTGAGCCACGAAATGGCTTTAAGCCTCAGAAATGCAAAACGCTCGAGTCCAGAAACACCTGGGATAAAACACAGGAAGAGGATTCAACATGTTTCTTCTGCTCTCATTTAAAGACGTATAGTTCTGCATCGGTGTATTTACTTTTAACTTTTTTTATCCGGTGTTAAAATTGGACCCTGATGGATTCATAGCCTTAATTCTCCAGAACTGCGGGAGGATTCCTGGACCTGTTGGATAACACCCTATTTCTCTTGTGGATTTCTATTTGGATTTGAAAGCAAACTCAAAAGTGGACATGTTTAGTGTTGCAAGTGTGTGATTAGAGTCATTAAGAGAGTGTGTTTATATGTCTGTGTGTGTGTGGATTTGTGTGTGGATTTGTGGCCATGCTGGAGGAAAAGAAGGGCCCGGGGTCAACGGACACAAGTCACCCACAAAAGATCCACAACAGCACGATTAAAACCAACCTCATCTCAAACAGCAGCGGTGCACACCGGTAAGATCTACATATTTATCACTTTTATAAACTGGATAATGTTACCTACACCTGCTAAACCATACAACTAAAAGTGTCTCTGTCATGTAAACTTGATATGTGGAGGACTGTGGTAGATTATTCAAGATTCAAGGCTTTTATTGTCATTTGTACTTATAGATATATCAATGAAAATAGAAATAAACAGAAAAGGCAGTCAAGAGGAAGTTGATTGAGGGGCTTATGGATAGACAGAGTTGAAGAGATGGGTTATAGTCTTGATGTGTGCACTTCAATAGGAGTCCATCCACGTTTAGTGTATAGTGACCACACTCTGGTTGGGCCATGTGTGCAGACGGAGCAGGCGTGAAATGCTCCTCTGGCTTTAACCCCGGCTTCTCCGCCTAGCCTGAAGCTAAAACAAGGAGACAACTGTATGAGCGTTGTGTGTACGTTACGAGAGGAGGCCTCATGTGTCTAAAGCCCGAGGTTTAAGAGTTTCACTATGCGTATCATCCAGAATCGACACACACATGTTGCTAAATTTCATCCGATGGCAGGCAGTATGTGGCGGGAAGAGGTTGCTAAAGATTCATTCAAGTGATCGAAGCTTTATATCACATTTAGCAGACGCTTGTATCCAAATGGACCCATAATAAGTGCATTAAACCATGAAGAAACTCATTTTAAACGCTAGTAAATTAGCTATGAAGTTCAAATCATTGGTAGCGCTACATTCATTTATTTATTCGTTATTTTATTTTATTTGATCTCTTTCATTTGATATGATTTAATTAACTTTATTTGTATTTATTTTAGGTGCAGTTAAAACTGGTGGGGTTTTAAGTCTGCTAAACTGAGCGAGCTGAAAGCAGTTTTACACCATTAAGTAACAATCGACAGTAAACAATAATAATTTAAGTTGTTTTTCATGCAGAAAATGGCAGAAAATACTCCTTTTAGCATCACACACACACACACACACACACACACACACACACACACACACACACACACACACACACACACACACACACATACATAATTGTCCTGCTTTTCTCTGTTTTCAATCATAATAAA